CAGCGTTTTTTCCACCATGTCTAGATTTAAGTCTAAAACCCAGAATGTTCAGTGATTAATGAGAAAGCCTGTACAGCAGGGTTTCCAGTGGCTTTCACTTTTGATTGGTTGTTTATAGTTGGACACAGAGCTTCCCTAATGATGTTTACACATGCAGAAACTTTGTAAAAGGAGCCACAAAAACACTAAGATCAATATGATTAATGCAGTGGCTGAAACAATATCACCGCTTCCAAAAGATACTGAAGACATCGTCTGAAACAGACTGAATACAAGCTGTGTGCTCCCATGTAATGATCACTACGGCATTTTTACTATCAATCTCTGCCTAAAACATGCACGAACTGAGGTCAAAGGGCATCACAAGCCTTTCTGTGAAACTTTGCTAATATAAGCTGATATCAAATGACCCACGTGACCTACATCAGTGTTGGCTGTGGAATCATTTAACATTCATTATAATTTGGGGTGTCTCATGTTTTTGGCATTGCAACAATGTATTTGTTCATGTACATATAGGAGAATTTAAAGTTGCTATTTTTATATGTACAGTTTTGTGTGTGTCCATCTACCCCAAATCAAAAGACGAACATCAATGGAAAACATTTTGTGAGCACTTTATAATTGGCCTCGCAGCTATGATGGCCACATTGCAAATACTGGTTATCGCCGGTGTTGTTATAGCTAAAACTAGTTAACCAGCTACATGTATTTAAAACATCAACAGACACGTGGCTATAAATGCTGCGTGAACGTGAAATCCACCCAAGCATCCCACTATGGTAAACAACTTTTTTCACTTAGCATTACAAAAATGGCGTTCAACTTTTTACATCCACCAGGTCACTGGCAACCTATCTGAGGCTGCTTTAGTTTGGTGAATGTCCACCAAGCAGGCAGAAAGGTGACAATGTGGTGCTCTCCCCAAAACATATTAGGATTACAGGACTGAGCCAAAGCTTGGGCACTGCAGCGACAGCTTTGACTCATCCACCCACATCAAATTATGAACTCACTCTGAACCCTCCTCTCTCATTCATACTAAATGAACACTCCTGGCTGCAACTGTCACAACCACATTAGGTACAATGCATGCTTTAAGTGTTAAATTCAGAGTAATTTGCAATGACACTGCCTGCGTAACCTATTAGTAAGTCATCCTTGATTGATTGAACAAGTACAAAAACCAAGTAGGTATTCGCACTTGCACAGTAAATGTTGCCCTATGTGTTGGGATGCCTTTTTCTGGAATATTAAATAGTTTCCTCCCACAGGCCGAAGACATGCATGTTCAGGCTACGTCCACACGTACCCGGGTATTTTTGAAAACGCAGATTTTTCTATGCGTTTGCACCTTTCGTCCACACGTAAACGGCGTTTTCGGTCACTGAAAATGGAGATTTTTAAAAACTCCAGCCTGGGTGGATATTTTCTAAAACTCAGTTTTTGCATTTACGTGTGGACGAGAAAAATGGAGAAAACGCAGTGTCAAAGGTGTGCGCCTTTTTTGACGTCACACTGTGCGCCACGTTATTGTTTCGGTGAAATGAATTTCTACAATACTGTTAATTGTTCTCTCTGCAGTGTTTAAATGCTTACATATACACACACAGTTACTGTCCCTCCACACATACGACTCGGTTCTGCTTCTATGCCCCAGCTTTGTTTAATATTTCCCACCGAGGCTTCTAGACTTCTGATTGGCCAACATTTCTGCACGGTTAGGAATATAGCGCCACCTGCTGCTTTGGCATGTTCCTAGCAGCGTTTTCCTTCATTTCTGCCTTTACGTGTGGACGGGATTATTTTTTAAAACGAAAACGGAAAATCTCCGTTTTCAAAAATACCCGTGTACGTGTGGACGTAGCCTTAGTTGAATGGTAACTAAACTGGTCGTAGGGTAGTTGTGCGGTTGTCCCTCAGTGTCAACCATGTGGTGGATTTGGGACCAATCACCTTTCACCCTATAGTGAACAGGCATTGGCTACAGCCGAGCTACAACCCTGTTTTGAACGTGTATTTAAAAAATGGATGGAAATAATTATCAAAAAAAGAAAACCTTAAACCCCGTGTACTAATTCATTTCTGCTGTTGAGGGTGCAGTTTGGATTTGGTTTCAGATTATTAAGTGTGAAAATACTTTCCCCATTTGTCCCAGTAACATACAATGAAAGCATGTTTAATAACAGCAGACAAGGGTTCTGCAATATCACCATGAAGGTGGTACGAGGGTTTTAATCCTAGTGTTTGTCATTGCATTCAGTTGTTCTTTGCTATTTTGTGGCTGATTAGACCTGAAGTGGCTGTAATCTTCATGTTTGTTGTGTGCTATTGCTACAGCTGTACTGTGAAAGTTTATGGCTGTAATGCAGACTTGCAGTTATTTGAAAGATTCAAAGGTCCGTCTTTGAACAGCGTGAAAGCCGTATTGGGGTACTTATCCTGGAAGCTGTTTGGAAACACTCAAAACCAAAACTGTGAAAGGCGGGCATAGTGGTGTCTGTGCTAATTAGCTAAAGCCTTTGATCTGGCATGCTGCTTTTGAATGCAGCTAAAAGGTTTAGTGCAGTCTACCTTTAATTAGGACTATGAAAGTGCTGCTTACTGTATGGAGGTTTGTTCTTAATACACAATGCCATCACAGCTCGTCAGATCCTTTCTGTGTCAGCCGGTTTTTATTACTGAATCTTATGTGCCAAAAATAGAACTTAAAAGCTGTGCTGTATGTTTTTGCTGTGTGTAAACACTGAAAATTCCTTCTATGCATTTATCATGACATTGAATAAATTCTATAACAACCAATGAGGTTCTTTTCCATGTTTTAAACATTAAATTAATTCTTCATCTATTAAAATGATCTTAACACATGACTGTTTTAACAGCCCTGCTTCATTTAGTGCAAAAGAGGTCATACAATTTTACATTACTGACTAAATGTCCTGGTACAGGTTTGTAAAAGTAGCTGTTTAGTTTCATGTACAGAAATCAAACTCAAACTTGGTCACCTGGGGGTAATTCAGTTTTGACGTTCAGCCCATATATACATAGACAAGCAGACAATATAATAGCAACAGATCCTTATGACTCCTTAGCATAGCTTAGGTTCTCCCAGCCATAGGCAGCATAAATGTGGATGTAGCTACTCACCTACACCTCACCTAAGACAATGTGAAGTCTTATTCTGAAGCCTTGAGATGAGTGTTTTTGCCATGATTGCTGAGTTATCAGTCATAAGTTTGTAATCAATGAGCATATCCTGGATAATCTTCCTTTCTGAAACATGCTCCAAAAAAATTATGAAATGGCTAAATGTAGTGTTCGGGGGTAACGGAATACATGTACAAGCGTTACGTATTTAAAATACAAAATATGAGTAACTGTATTCTGTTACAGTTACTGCTTAAATCTTCACATTAGAAGAAGAAAGGGATGGGTGAAATCTGACCGTGCAACCAAGCTGCTCTCAGTGTCAAAAGACTCCACCTCCAACCTAAAGAAACATCTGGAAGTAAGTTCTTGTTTAAAAACTAACATTAGCCTACTGCAGCTACCTTGTTTTGGTTGTGGTAGCTACCTGGGTTATGTGCCACTTCAGCATCTT